TAAATATTGGAGGAAATAGACTCAGATTGGTCAGATTGGATAAGTACCTGAGGTCACATGGCACATAAGTGACAAAACCAGTTTGGAATCTAAGTCTGTGTGAACTCGGTATCTCTTTCCACGATGCTTTGCTACCCTCAGTAAGGTTGCAAGCTTTCTTAAACTTAAACTGTCCATCACCAACCATTTTCTGCATGACAAAGTAATGACCACTTCTCCTCCATCTCAAAAGGTTCAAACAGAGAATAAATGGAAGGGTTGAAAGGAAAACTGAATTCTAGATAAGTGATCAGCAATTTTTTTTGACCACATGCACCTGTCAGCAAAATAATTGAGTGTACACCATATTTATAGATCTATTATATATAAAAGTATTTTATTAGCATTGTGTATATTATAAAACATACATGAAAATTTATAAAAATTAAGATTTTGCATAACATTTTTGATTATTTTTAGTAAATTAGATTTTTTGTTGTTAACAAAGAGAAATTTATACTCTCAGAGTTTAGTAGGCTAGAGGTCCAAATTTAGGGTGCTAGCTCCAGGGGAAGGCTTTCTCTCTGTTGGCTCTGGGGGAAGATCCTTGTCATCAATCTTCCCCTGGTCTAGGAGCTTTTCCACACAGGAAGCCCAGGTCCAAAGGACATGCTCTGCTCCTGGTGCTGCTTTCTTAGTGGTATGAGGTCCCCATGTCTCCCTGCTCTCTTGTCTCTTTTATATCTCAAAAGAGATTGGCTCAAGATACAATCCAATCTTGTATCTTGAGTCCTGCCTCATTAACATGACTGCCACTAATCCCATGTCTTCAACATCAAAGAGATAGGATTTACAACACATAGGAATATCACATCAGATGACAAAATGGTGGGCAGTCACACAATCCTGGGTATCATGACCTAGCCAAATTGATACATGTATTTTTGGGGGACACAGTTCAGTCCATGACATTCCACCGTTTGGCCCCCCCAAATTCATGTCCTTGCGACACGTAAAACACATTCATCCGATCATATCATAGCAGAAGTCTTGAATCAATTCCAAATCCAAAATCCAAAAATTCTTCATCTGAAATCTAAAATACAACTTATCTGCTTCCAAAGTCCAGTGGTGGAACAGACGCAAGCTAGACATTTCCATTATGAATGGGAGAAATTGGAGGGAAAGAAGGGATAACAGGCACCAAGCAAGTCAGCAAAACACACTACGTTAGCCCTCAAGGCTTGAAAATAATCTTCTGTTCTCTCAGACCATTTAGGCAATGGCCCTGCCCTCTGGACTTCAGGTATTGGCCACACTCTCTGGATTCTGAGTGGAGGCCCCTCAGCCCTGGGCTTTAGCTCTACCTTCCAGGCATACTGGAATGGCAACTCTGCTCCCTTGGCTTTAGGCACACCATTCTCCAAGTCCATCTGAGTGGCAACTCCACCCTTAGAAACTCCAGAGGCCATGGCTTCATCCTTTGATACCCCATAGGTCACGGCCATACCCTTTGAGACTGAGGCACCTTGGCTTCCTGTGTTCCTTTTCTCTTCAGCTTCTGCTTTCTGGTTCCTTGGCTTCTCGACCCCGTGGGCCTCGCCACCCGTGTCTGCCTTCTGGGGCAAGTGTTCCAAAGCTCTTTAGCTCTGGTAAGTGCCTGGAGGCAGCCCCCCTCTGCCAGTAAACTTTGGCCAGACAGCACTCAGCTGTCTTTCTGCATGGGTTGGCAGGCGTAGCTTCACCGATAAGTGCCCAAAGGCACCCCACTCCACCAGGAAGCCTCTTGCACAAAGGCACTCGACTTTTTCGCTCCATGGGTCGTAAATTAGATTTTAGATTTTATATAAAATATAAACCTTTTTAAGCTTCTATTTTATAGTTAGAAAGATACTTTTCCTGTACCCACTGAAATGCATTCCCCCAACATTGGAGGCCATTGTTTTAGATGACGAAGCCTCTTAAGTATTAAGATTTCTGTGATTCTATGATTTTGGCCTAAACTGTTTTGAAAGGGCTAATGATAGCTTGGAGTCCCTGAATGGCACCTCAGAAGAAAGGCCTGGCGATCTGCTGCTGAAAGGTCACAGCCATGAAAACCATATGGAGCACAGTTCTATTCTGCAACACATGGGGTTGTCATGAGTCAGAATTGATTAAAGGCAACTGTTCCCTGCCCCTCCTTTGGTTTAATAATAGCTTAATTCACTGTCAGAAGAGTTTATAGATAGCTTGTTATCTAAGACAAAAGCTATAAAGTCTTCACTGGCTGTTGTATTTGTAGCAGCAGTTAAGCCTCATATCTACATAGTGTGAAAGATTCTTTTCCAAATAAGAAGTACCAACCTCATGAGCATTAACCAAACCCAAACCCATTGCTGTCAAGTTGGTTCTGACTCATAATGACCCTGTAGGACAGGGTAGAATTGGCTCATAGGGTTTTCAAGGCTGTAAATCTTTATGGCAGTAGACTGCCACATCTTTCTCTCATGAAGCTGCTGGTGAGTTTGAACTGTCGACTTTTTCAGTTAGCAGCCGAGTGCTTTAACCACTTCACCGCAAGGGTTCCTTCATGAGCATTACTTTCTATATATAAAAGAAGATGTAAAATAAGGGACTGTCATGGATTGAATTGTGTCCCCCCAAAATATCTGTCAGCTTGGCTAGATCATGATTCCCTGTATTGTATGATTGTCTACCGTTTTGTCATCTGATGTGATTTCCCTGTGTGTTATGTATTCTATCACTATGATGTAATAAGATGGATTAGTGGCAGTTATATTGATGAGACCTACAAGATTAGATAGTGTCTTGAGCCAATCTCTTTTGAGATATAAATGAGAGAAGCGAGCAGAGAGACAGGGCCAGCTCATACCACCAAGAAAAGTGCCGGGAGCAGAGCATGACCTTTGGACCTGAGGTTCCTGTGCTGAAATGCTCCCAGACCAAGGGAAGACTGATGACTAGGACCTTCCTCCAGAGCTGACAGAGAGAGAAAGCCTTCCCCTGGAGCTGGTGTCCCTGAATTCAGACTTCAGCCTACTAGACTGTGAGAGAATAAGCTTCTCTTTGTTAAAGCCATCCACTTGTGGTATTTCTGTTACAGCAGCACTAGATGACTAAACAGGGACTATTATTAAATAATAAACCTGATTTCTATATGTGGCATGAAAAACAACCTTGTTATTTTTGTCGTATCTTTGTAAATCTGTGTGTGTGTCCAAAACTTACTGTAGTGGCATATTCTAAAAAGACTCTGAAATCTTGCCTAGCGAGGAATATGAATTTTTGTACTTGGGAAATTATTTTAACACTGTTTCAGAATGGAGCCAAAAATCCAAATTAGGCTCAGCCTACTGGACTGAAATCTTTATACTGATACATTCTTTAAGAAGCAAAGGAGTTACTACTTGCTTTCCTTGACAGAGGGAAATGGCTGCTTTTCTACGTTTTGGTCCTTAGTTACTGGCCATTGCCAGGCTGATACTTCACAATTAAGATGACTTTTTCTGGTTAGGAACTGTTCCTTGGGGATAGATTCTTTAAGAATAAACCTGCCCAGATCCCAAAAGGAAGCTGAAGACTATAAGAAAGCAGAAGCGCAAATCTAGCTTTTATTCACCTATAAAAGATATCTGTATTAAGATGAAATTCTAGATCAGCAGCGCTCTTTCCTCTTTCTTTTTCCTCTCATAGTGATTCATTTGTACAGATTTTTCTACATGACATTCTGTAGTTTTGGTGGAGTTATAGAGGACATGTTGCTTGCAAATAAGATCAAACCCAGGCAAATTCAGCTGCTTTTTCTGCACAAATCTTACATGGCCCATAGGACAGGAATTCCTTGGCAGTACCTCTTAGGCACCCTTTTGTTCCATAGAATTACTCTGGAAAAGTAAAGTTTACCTGCTATTTCTTAAATTTTTGTATTTACTTATTCAACAAATAGTTATTCAGTGCTGAGTTGTGCCAAGTTTTGTACCAGGGGTATCGACCACTGTTTTGTTGTTTTTTCCTTCATGTAACATGTATTAAAAACCAGCTGACACTTTGGAAAACAGTTTGGCAATTTCTTATGAAGTTCCCTAACCTTACGAGTCAATTCTGTTCCTAGGTATTTACCCAAAAGAAAAGAGAACAGGGTCAGAAAAATATTATGGCAGCTTTATTCATATTAGCAAAAAAAATTATAAACAACCCAAAGGGGAGATTGGATTAATACATTGTGTTATGGTCATATAGTGGATAGCAATAAAAAGGAGCTGAACTACTGATACATGTAACGGCATGGCTGAGTCTCAGAAACATTAAGCTGAATCAAAGAAGCTAGACAAAAAACAAAAAAAACAAACTATTGTTCCTTGCAACAACATACTTTAGAATTTCCTGCTGCAGACTGACCTGTGCTTGCCTGCTTGCTCACTTGCTCTCATTTCTTTTCTTCTCTCTCTTTACTCTCTTCCTTTCATTCCTCTTGTGACTCTTCTTTGAGACAGTCACAACAAATTTTAAAGTCAAGTCATCTAAGTGTAGGAGAAACTATGTATGATATTTGAGATATGATAAAATTCTTAGATTGTCTTGAAGACCCAGTGTCATCTCCCCTGTGCAGAGCTCAAGGAGTTTGTTTGTTACGTAGCTCCCAGACCATGAGTCTTTAAATGGGTTTATATTATTCTATTTTAAGTAAAATTAGTTATCGGCATATTTTTTTCATAAAAGTACAGGTGTGCTTCTTAGATGCTTTTAATATAATTATTTTTTTTTATTGGTGTTTCTTTGAATTTGTATTTTCCGGATTTGAATCCTGATAGGTTAGCTTCTGGAATTAGCTATTTTGGGGCCTATTTCTGTTACAGTACAGCTGGCATATTTCTTATTTTTCAGTGTTTTAATCACCTTATTATCTAAACCCTGGAATACGCCCCAGTTAATTAAAGGCATAAGTGTGTTTTTGCTGTTGTCTTCTCTGTTGGTGAAATTGAAGGTATAATGAAAACTATAATTTTTTTCTTCTTTAGCATCAGACAACAGTCAGCGCTTTCGAGAAACCTGTTTTGCATTTGCATTGACACCACAACAAGTGCAGCAGATCAGTAGTTCCATGTAAGTTGTCTTCAACTTTAACTTGCAGTTTGACATTTGAGCCCAGTTTTGTCTATAGGAAGTGATTTTTAAAAACAGTGTATTAGGTGAGTATTAACATCATGCAATATTTGTACTTAAAATTATTATAGTGTGTTAGTTGCCCTAAGAACAGTTATAGCTCTGATAATTTGAAAAATTTTCTGGAGTAACAGTATCTTTGAATCAACTTTCATGTGCAAATTTTAAAATAATTGTAGTTCTTATTCTCTCTTTTCTAGGGATATTTCTGGGACCAAATGTGACTTCACAGTGCAGGTCCAGTTAAGGTACAGTGTTGACTACAATATATATCCAAAGTTTAAAAGTTAATATTCCTTAAAGATTTTTTTAAATTTTCAGTCAGCATAGAGAGAGTATTGAGTTTAGATGTTTAGGTAAGGAAAAACTTCCTGTTAGGAGATACCCTAATTTTTATCCAACTCAGATTTTTAATATAGCAGGTCATGTACCTTGTGTCTAACCATATCTCTCTACTTGGGTTGCCCTCAGTTGGTTGAGAAGCTCCAGCTAATGATATCTTAATATGTCATAGTGATCAGCGCTTTAGAAATACAAAGTTTTATGAAAGCGAAGTGCTTACCTGTATGAGAGGCAAACTACTGTAGGTAAGAAACAAGTACTTAGATTAAGTCTACAGTATCTCGTGGACCAACAGTAAAAAAAAATTGTAATTTGCTTTGTCCTGTATTTAAATCATTAATTTAAATGTTCTCTTAGATTCCATGTGAGATACCTCAGTAGTTTTGCAAAGACTAATGGAAAACTGTCCAACATGAATTCATAGCTGCCCCTTATTCAGTTTTTTTTCTATGTCTACTCATTTCTTCTTAGGGTTATCTTTAAGAAATCTTTTATGTTAATGTCTTTTCTTGCTTATATAAACCATCTTATGCTGCTCTTATCACTCATGATTATCCACATGTAAACCTAAGTGCCCCACCCTATACTTGTTGCCATTGGAATTGAAGAGGAAATAGAAAACAGTTGTTTTCTTCAATAAGGTGTTTTCCCTAAATCCTGGGGAGGATAAGTCTAACTGGTAGCCTAGTTTCAATAATCGGATAGTAATTTGTATGTACAAATTAGAAATACAATAGGAGTCAAAAAAGAGATTAAAGCAGCTGCTCAGAACTTTGTGAAACAGTTTGAAAACCTCTGATCTGGGCTTTAAAATAGTGTGATGAGAACAGTGAGAAAAGCAGAGGAGAGGTTGAGTTAAAGATTTTAAAAAGGATGTGACTATACTTGATTAGCTTTTATTCCATAGAACAGTATGACAAAACCTTAACCCAGTAGACTAGTGATAATCTAGCTCTTGGTTTTGGAAGACACTGACAAAGATTATCCCGTGTACAAGAGATTTGGGTACTTTATTCTTGACTGAATAAATTAAAGGACTAAATATGATACCATCATAACTAATTATATATTGCTAAAATCATCTTTACTTCCTGCCTTTAACAATTTACATCTTGCTCATACTGATATGTAACATTACCCTGTAAAACAGTGGCTTTCAAACTGTTGCATGGAGCCACCCTTAAGGATCCACATTCTGGCTACCTTTTTACCTCCTCCATCTCTTATCTACCCCCGACTCCCCACACATACACTGAGCCAAAGTAGCGTTATACTTTGATCTGTATGTCACATGTGTGACTTCTGGGTAAGTTTTCATTTGAAGAAAGGATCCCAAGACTAAAATGAAGTTTAAAAGCATAATTCTAAAATAAAAAATCTAGTTACTATCCTCAGTATTTTATATTGAAGCATGAAAATAAGTTTGTCAGAATTAGTCTCAGTGATTCATCTGTTAGACTCCCAGTCTGTTGTCATTTGTGTACCTGGTTTTCACCTTCTCATGAACTCCTTCACAGCAACTTTCCACTGCTGTTGCCCTTTTTTCTTTTTTCTCCTCAGTTTGTTCAGGTAGTGTAGAGTAGGAACCAACTTGTCATAATAAATTATTCTCTTCTTGTAGCTTCAGGCAGCCAGGGTCCATGTTTTAAAATTATTACTGCATTGGAATAATTGATTAAAAACTTTGTGACATCCTCCTATTGTTGCAGTGTAAAAAAAACTTGCCTATGATAGAAGATTTTCCTAGAGTTAGAGATGATCCTGTGAGCTTGTATATTTTGAGAAAATCTTTATAGATCAGTGATTTTTAACCTTATAAGGATCCCTAGTCCCTTTGACCGAGACCAGAAAAGTTGTGGAATGACATCAAGGACATCATACAAGAAGAAAGCAAGAAGTCATTAAAAAGACAGGAAAGAAAGAAATGACCAAAACGGATGTCAGAATAGACTCTGAAATTTGCTCTTGAATGTCGAGTAGCTGAATTGAAAGGAAGAAATGACAAAGTAAAAGAGCTGAACAGAAGATTTCAAAGGGCGACTCGAGAGGACAAAGTAAAGTATTATAATGACATGTGCAAAGACCTGGAGTTAGAAAACCAAAAGAGAAGAACATGCTCCACATTCTCAAGCTGAAAGAACTGAAGAAAAAAATCAAACTTTGAATAGCAATATTGAAAGATTCTGTGGGCAAAATACTGAACGGCGCAGGAAGCATCACAAGAAGATGGAAGGAATACACAGAGTCACTGTACCAAAAAGAATTGATCGACGTTCAATCATTTCAGGAGGTAGCATATGATCAAGAACCGGTGCTACTGAAGGAAGACCCTGCACTGAAGACATTGGCGAAAAACAAGGCTCCAAGAATTGACGGATTACCAATTGAGATGTTTCAACAAACCAGTGCAGCCCTGGATGTGCGCACTTGTCTATGCCAAGAAATTTGGAAAATAGCTACCTGGCCAAACTACTGGAAGAGATCCATGTTTATACTTGTTCACAAGAAAGATGATCCAGCCGAATGCAGAAGTTATCAAACAATGTCATTAATATCACAGGCAAGTAAAATTTTGCTGAAGATCATTGAAAAGTGATTGCAGCAGTACATCAACAGGGAACTGCCAGAGATTCAAGCTGGATTCAGAAGAGGACGTGGAATGAGGGATATCATTGCTGATGTCAGATGGATCCTGGCTGAAAGTAAAGAATACCAGAAAGTTGTTTACCTGTTTTATTGACTATGCAAAAACATTTGTCTGTGTGGATCATAACAAATTATAGATAACATTGCAAAGAATGAGAATTCCAGAACACTTAATTGTACTCATGACGAATCTGTACATAGATCAAGAGACAGTCGTTTGAATAGAACAAGGGGACACTGCATGGTTTTAAGTCAGGAAAAGTGTGCATCAGGGTTGTATCTTTTCACCATACTTATTCAATCTGTATGCTGAGCAAATAATCCGAAAAGCTGGACTATATGAAGAAGAACATGGCATCAGGATTGGAGGAAAGCTCATTAACAACCTGTGTTATGCGGGTGACACAACCTTGCTTGCTGAAAGTGAAGTGGACTTGAAGCATTTACTGATGAAGATCAAAGACCACAGCCTTCATTATGGATTACACCTCAACATAAAGAAAACAAAAATCCTCACAACTGAACTAGTAAGCACCATCATGATAAATGGAGAAAAGATTGAAGTTGTCAAGGATTTCATTTTACTTGGATCCGCAGTCAGTGCTCATGGAAGCAGCAGTCAAGAAATCAAATAACACATTGCACTGGGCAAATCTGCTGCAGAAGATCTCTTTAGAGTGTTAAAAAGCAAACATATCACTTTGAGGACTAAAGCGTGCCTGACCCAAGCCATGGTATTTTCAGTTGCCTCATATGCATGCGAAAGCTAGGTCATGAATAAGGAAGACCGAAGAAGAATTGATGCCTTTGAATTATGGTGTTGGCAAAGAATATTGAATATACCATGGACTGCCAAAAGAACGAACATATCTGTCTTGGAAGAAGTACAGCCAGAATATTCCTTGGAAGTGAGGATGGTGAGACTTTGTCTCACATATTTTGGGTATATTATCGGGAGAGACCAGCCGCTGGAGAAAGACATCATGCTTAGTAAAGTAGAAGGTCAGCAAAAAAACAGGAAGACCCTCAAAGAGATGGATTGACCCAGTGGCTGCAGCAGTGGACTCAAGCATAACAACAGTCATGAGGATGGCGCAGGAGCTTTTCATTCTGTTGTACATAGGGTCATTATGAGTCGGAATGACTCGAGGTCACCTAACAGCAACACAAGTCCCTTTGAGAATCTGATGAAAGCTATGGATTGTCTCCCCAAAGATGAACATTTATATTTACCCATAAAAAGTTTACATAAAAATTTGTCTATTTTCTTGACCCTTCCCATATGCAGATTCTGTGGCCCGCTCGTTAAGACCTCACGCCCTGTGTGTTGAGGGAAGATGTTTGTGTGTGATGAATATTTCACAGGACTCAGAGATAGGGTTCTCCATACCATGTAACTAAAACATGTCATGAACGTTCTGTAAAGGTAGAATGAGCTTCGAGTATATATTGGGAATAAGGAAGTAATAAAGAATAGAGTCATAAATAGCAAAATAATAATTTATTCCATTATCTATATAAGCGTGAATAGAGAAATTATAAATTATATAGCTATCCTTGGTTTCCGCAAAAGATTATGCATTTGATTTAGAAATATGTATTTTAATAAGTTTCTAAAATAGTATTCTAAATACATGTGGATATAACACAAGTAATGTTATTATTCAGTTTCTTTAGTTCTGAGCAGCTAATGGATTACCTTGGTCCTGGGGGTAGACTTAACAGCATTTTCAGTATGTTCTGTTGAGAGCCAAAAAAGTATTTCATAGACAAACAAATTTGAGAATACTGTATACTGTATCTTCCTCTTAGAGAGTCACAGTGCATATTAGCCTATTTAAACCTCTGAGAAATTCTGTGTTAAGGAAGTGTAGTGTGATTTTTTTGCTTCAGAATTTCTTAAATTTTATTCAACTACGGAACTTTTTTTTTTCTTTTGCCTTTTAACATCTTAATATCCCAGGAAGCTAGTGCTCCTCGAAACATGCTTGAACTAATGATTGACAATGTCATGAAGACAACTACAGGTTGATAGTCATGATCACTGAAACTCTACATTGGCAGAATTGTTTATTTTAAACTTGTTCAAATGTGCTTATTCATCATGTGAAATGGCCAGTTTTTATAGTTTTCCCTTTTTTGTTGTTAAGAGTTGATCATCTTTTAAATTAGCTATTGAACAAAAATATTATTTCATGCTTTAATAAAGGAAATTAAACTTTTTATTGTTTAGGTTTTGTTTATCAGAAACCAGTTGTCCGCAGGAAGATCACTTCCCACCCAATCTTTGTGTGAAAGTGAATACAAAACCTTGCAGCCTTCCAGTAAGTCCTAAAAGCTATTTTTTAAATGCATTGCCAGTGTAGCTATCAAATAAGTCATCACAGCTGTGATTGTAGTTTTTCATTAAGAAAACTTTTTTATTTTGGATATATTTTCATGTGACTGGGTGAAACACTTGTATCAACTTTGTATAATTAGCAGCTATAACATTAGCTATGGAGACATAGTCTGGGATTTGGACTTGGGTGTGAGAGCTTTAGATTTGTACTAGATTTAGGGGAGAAGAAATTGTTTCAATGAAACCTCAACTGTGTTCATGTGGACCTGTAAGCGTGGGGTAGAATGGAGATTTGAAGGGTGCTATGCTTTAAACGGGCTGAGAGAGGTATTGTTTTGGTGTCCTTGAAAATATTTCTTACAGACTTTATTTAAGCTCTTTATTAATTCTTCTAATTCTTAACTTGTAAAGATTTCTTATGTCTGTCAGTCGTTTTTCTCAGGCTTACTACAGTGAGTCTGTAGTGTTGTTTCAAGAAATAATAGCACAGGAAACTTAAATGTTTGCTTCTTTGCTCATTAATGAAAATATTCATGTTCTCTAGCATGTAGTTTGTAGGTTTTGGTGTTTTGTTCAGGAATGGAAATTTGAATAAAAGAAATTATTTCATTCTTAGGGTTATCTTCCACCTACTAAAAATGGTGTGGAACCAAAGCGACCCAGCCGACCAATTAATATCACCTCACTTGTCCGATTGTCCACAACAGTACCAAACACCATTGTTGTTTCTTGGACTGCAGAGATTGGAAGAGTAAGTAAATTTTTGTTTCTGCCAGATATTTGTATTAACCTAAGAGGGTTAATAATCTCCATGGCTACATGAGCTTATAAGTAAATGATTTTGTAAAATAAATTGCAAAAGAATTTATTTTTATCTCACAATGAATTTTCAATGTGTTCTCATTTAAAAAATACATGCACACACACATATGTATACACATACACGCATACACAAGTAAATAAATATATATATGCATGTTTGAACTAATGATTGTATATCATTACCCTGGTGACATAGTGGTTAAGAGCTACTGCTGCTAACCAACAGGTTGGCAGTTTGAATCCACCCGGCGCTCCTTGGAAACAACTATGGGGCGGTTCTACTCTGTCCTTTATGGTCACTATGAGTCAGAATCGACTCGACAGCAATGAGTTCGGTTGTTTTGGTTTTCGAGTAGCATAAATATTTAAGTGCTCAACTACTAGCTAAAAGGTTGTCTGTTCAAACCCATCCAGAGGTGCCTCGGAAGACAGGCCTGGTGATCTGCTTCCAAAAGATCGTAGCCTTGAAAACCATATGGAACAATTCTAGTCTGTACACATGCGGTCGCCATGAGTCAGAATTGACTCGACAGCAATAACAACAACAACGTGTATTTGTTTATTTTTTCTTCTGGAATTTTAAGATTTCATATTTTACCTTTAATGATTTAATTCATCTTAAATTTATGTGTGGCTTAAGGTAAATAACTGCTTTAATTTTTTAAATAGTCGGATAATAATAACACCATTAACTAAATAAATGCTGATTTGTGAAGCCACTGTTACTATATTTAATTTTTATTTATCCTGAATGTATTTTTGAAGTTTTTCTGTTTTTTTTGCTAGTCTGGCATTCTTTCTCTGGGACAGTTTTAGAGTCTTTTGATTGTTGAAGCTTTATGATATGAGCTCGTATGTATTCACTAATTCATTTGAAATTTACTGAATGGTTACTGTGTGCCAGGCATTGTGGCACTCAGAACTGACAGCATTGTAAACAGTAAACCAAACCCACTGCCATTGAGTCGATTCCGACTCATGGCGACTCTGTAGGACTGAGTCGCACTACCCCATAGAGTTTCCAAGGCTGTCATCTTTATGGAAGCAGACTGCCACATCTTTCTCCCTCAGGGCGGCTGGTGGGTTCAAACTGCTGACCTTTTGGTTAGCAGCTGAGTGCCACCAGGGCTCCTTGACATTGCCACAGTGGGGAAAAATGTCTTTGTTTTCATAGAGCGCGAGATCTCAGGCAGGTGGTCATACACGGAAAACGTGAACTTGTTAGTACTGTAAAGGTAGTACGTGATGATTTAAGCGTGTATTAAAGGGTGCTTTAAGCTAGAAGGAGGTCAGGGAGGGCTTCCCTAAGCCAAGAGCTGAGAGAAGGGTAGGAATCACTTAGGCGAAAGGTTCAGAGGAAACAACCTGCGTAACAGTCCACTGGCAGGGGTGAGCTTAGTTTTTTCCAAAAAGCTGAAAGGAAGCCACTGCAGCTGGAGGACGAAGAGTGGGGAAGAGCAATATATGAGATGAGGCAGGAGAGGTAGAAAACCACGGAGGACTGCATAGATAATGCTAATGTTAAGGGTTTTCTTTTTAAGCAAAAGTTTACAGAGTCTTATTTCTGCTGAGAAAACAAAAAAAAGTACTCTGTAGAGTAGAAAATAGTTTAAATAGAGGTTGGTAGAGAGTCTACCTTAGGAGGAAGCTCTTGCAGAAGTATTAGTGAGAGGAAGTATTTTGGCCTAGACTGACAGCGGGACAGAGGTTAAGTAGGTGGATCTGAAGGACTAAGTGATGGATTGCATGGACGAATGGATGAGAGAAAGGGAGATGTCAGGGATGACTCCTTGGTTTCTGGCTTGGGTAACAAGGTGAATCATGATATTACTGAGACAGGAAACACTAAAAAGGACCAAGTTTAGGTTTTCGTTTTGAATGAGGAGATGTTGGAGCACTAGATGGGGAAAACCCTCAGTTCAGTTTTGAAGCTTTTGAGTTTGAGATGCCTTTGAGATATCCTGAATTAGGTAATTGGGCATATAGGGTTCAAAGGATACATTTAGGCTAGAGGGGAAAAAATGTGTGAGACATCTGCATATCGATAGTATAAAAGACACACAGGCAGGGCTGTTTAGGAGGAATGTACCAAGTAGGAAGAGAAGAGCACCTAAGAGCTATCCTTGAGGAACTATAACGTTTAATCCTGGGTAGAAGAGAATGAGCCTGAAGAGGAGATGGGGCAATGGTGCCAGAGAGGTGGAACTGGGTATGAGAAAAGATAAGGTAGGAGCTTCAGAAAGGGAGCGATGGTAGGCAGTGTTGAACAGGTGTTGAGAGGTCAAGTGTGTTGAAGTCTGAAAAATATCCTTTGAATCAGGTACACGCAGTGACTTTAGCACAAGCTGTTTTGGTGGAATGGTGGGAGTAGAAGCCAGATTGTGGTGAGCTGGAGGTGAGGCAGTGGAGATAGGGAATGATAAAAGTATGTCTTTGGAAAGAGATGAGGGTGAGCTGGAGGAAAATGTGGGATGAGAGTTGTTTGTTTTAATAGGAGAAGCTTTAACATATTTGAAAGATGATGACAGGGGTCTTCTTGAGAGGGATAATCAATAGTGAATTGCATAGTTGGAAGAACTCAAAGTAGATAGGAGAGATAGCTGTATTTAGTGGGAGAATGAAAGGATTGATGAGTGTATTTGTTTGGTACTGGAGAGATGAGTAAGTTCTGATCTGATGACTTATGAGATAGGAAGTGAGGTAAATCTGCTGAGAGTGAGAGAAGAAATAGGGGCTTTGAAGAGTAGAAAAGGTTATTACAGAGAGTGAGACATGTTCCCTTAGATTACTCCTATTTCTTAACATTTATTCTTTCAGATGAACTATAGTGTTAATTTTATGAAGTTTCCTCTCCTTCCTCCTCCACCTTGCACCCATACCTCCTTGGGAATTCAAATGAGATTGCTTTAGATTTGTAGATTAAGTTAGGGAAGATTAATTTATTTACAATATTTAATGTACCCACTCCAGGAACTGTATGTTTCTCCATTTACTCAAATCTTCTTTAACACTTTCCAGAATTTAATAGTTTTCTTCCTATAAGTCCTGCTTTTTTTGTTTTAATTAATTACTATGCTGGTTATTATTTTTATTAATTTTGTAAATAGATCCATTTTCTAAAGTGTTTATTTATTGTTAGTTTATTTAAAAGCTAGTTATTTTTGAAAATTTGTGCCTAAATTCACATATTTGTTCCAGTAGCTTTTTAGTTGATTTCTTGGGGTTTCCAGGTAGGCAGTTTTGAGTTTGAGATGTATCGTTTTACAAATAATGATAATTCTAATGCTTATGACATTATTTCTTCTTCTTGTTCTGTTGTGCTGGCTAGAACCTTTAGAACAATATTAAATAATGCAGGTGCAAGTGGACGTTCTTGACTTTTTCCTTATATTCATGAGAATGCTGCTAGTGTTACTACGTTAAGTATTATAATGGCTGTTAATTTTCTTTAGAGTTTAATTACATCAGTGATGTGTCGTAGTCCTCTTTTACTGGATATCTTTGTTAGAAATAGATTTGAGTTTTATCAAAATCCTTTTTGACATCTATCAGGGTTATATCTTTTTCCTTTGACTAATTAATATGTCACCATTAGATTTTAAAAATTCTTCCAAATGTTTTAGTTTTACTGTAACTTAGGGTTCCCATCTTTTTTTTTTCCTCTCCTTTTTGAAGAGAGGGTTGAGTATATTTTTCTTTTGTGAAAACTGTAGCCAACTAGGAAACAAGGGGTGTTTAAGGGGAAATATGAAACAAGTTTGAAACTGTGGAGAGAGGAGAACGTGGTTCCTGCTGTATGACACTAGAATAGAGGGAGAGATACTCTTCCATGGGAAGCCTTCCAAACCTCAGAGAGAAAAAATTGTCTTCAGTGATTTGAGGGTCTGTTAAGTAAGATCTTTGTGAAAATCCTGGCCTTAAACAAGTTGGAAACCTTTTTGAAGTAAGACAAAAAAATAAAATTATTCTTTAACCAAAGCCCAGAACTCTGATAAGTTCTTAGATTTTCTTTTCAGATTATTGATTTTAATTCAACTTGTGAAGATACTCTTCATGTAGGATATGTTACTGTTTTGCTGTTAGATTTGTATGACTAGTTGCTACTGAGAAACATTATAAGTATGCATTTTGAATTGAAATGAATAGAAGAGCTAGTACAGTACCTGAAGGAAGAATTATCCTACTTCGTTGTAATTACCGCATTTATCACTTATTTACAGTCATTGTTTGTAGAGAAATATTTTAGGTACTAGTATAAAGAATTTAGAAGACTTTGACAAAAATATCAGTGATGCAACATGTCAGTAGTTGGAGTTAGGTAGTACCTTGGAGAATTAGCGGTAACTGTATAACATCATCTGCCTAGAAGAGATATTATGCCACTATTCAGTTTGGGGGTTTTTTGCTGCTGACCCCCTTTTATTTGATGAAAAAGTTAATTCCGTATTACTGGTACAAGCAGCATTTGTTATTACCTTACATTCTTGCTGCTTTCTTTTTTATTTGGTTACATGTTTCAACTAGAGTGAACATACCTTTTCACTGAACTTGTAGCTGTGGTTTCTGCTTGATCTCTTCTTAAATATTTATATAAAGCCTGAGGGTAATTCCTAGCTCTGAAGATTCAAGTTGTCTGTACATAATTTCAGTGTTAATTAGCATTTCTCCACTTCCTTGAAGCATTAAACAAGTAAGTAATAAAGGTGAATAAGTTTTCTTTTTTCCTGAAAGAAGCTTTTTGGTTTTATATTAGATGGTATGTTGTATGCTCTAAAATTTAGGAAAGTTGTAAGGTTATTTGTGCCTCATTAATAAATTGTGAAATTTATTAATGAAAGTGTCATTAATAAATTGTGAAATTTATTAATGAAAATGTCATTAATAAATTGTGAAATTTATTAATGAAAGTGAATTAGCTTTCTTTGATACTTCATTTTTTTTCCCCTTCCAGATAAAACCTATGTAGAGAGACATTGTTGCCTAGTGGTTAAGACAACAACCTTGGAGCCAGAATACTTGGGTTTCAATCCCAGTTCTGCAGTTTATTAGCTGTGTGACTTCGGGCAAGTTACTTAACTGTTCCATGCTTCAATTCTCTTGTTTATAAAGAGAACATAGCATGTAAACATGGATAGATTTATGAACTTTAAATGAAAATTTGACCTTCCAGAGGATACTGGAGGATATTTTCTCTTGTTGCCGAAAGAAGAGAATGCATTTTCAAAATTGTGAGAGTAACTGAAAATTGGAACATGTGTTGGGCTAGATTAAAAGGCTCAAAGCAAGTAGAGTCTGTGAAGGCAAGAACTGTAGAGAGTACACCAGCCTTGGTCATTAAGTCCGTTCTCATGACATCTCTACTCTTGGGTTCTAGTGCCTGCACTGTCACCAGGCAGTTCCATGATCGTGACAGATTACATAATCTTTTTGTGCCTCAGTTTCATCAGCCCCTTCACTTAGAAAAATACCTATCCTACAGAAAAATACCTTTCCTGCCTCTATCTTATAGGCCTTCTGTGATGTTGAAATGAAATAGATAGTATATGTGTGTAGAGTACTTTGAAAACTGTATGTAGCTATAAAATATAAGATGGCAGTAATTATTCTTCTTTTTGCTTCTTTTCAAATCTCTTAATCTTCCTCTTGATCCCAACACTGAATGAACAGCGGTTCTTCTCAGTTAGGTCTCTCTCCCACCCTACATAAGCCTCAACCCGCTTTTCTTCTTCTAACTCAGTCATGTGCCTTTCACTCTGTCTTGGCTTGTTGATTAACTGTTTTCTTTGTTCTCTTCTCTGCCAGCAGTAGATATTCATATATTTATCTGCCAAACCAGCAGCTTCTTTAAAATTCCCTTTGCTTGAAGAGCTTTGTAGTAATAACTGCTCAAGTAGGATCTTTTCAAGAACTGGTTGAAGGTATAAAAGGAGGTTAAAAGGTATAAATTAGGATAGGTTAGGAAGTCAATCTCATTAATAATTTTTAAAATAGCCACTATTTTAGAAATATCTGTCATCAACTAAACACCATTTATGATGACTTTGACGTCGTATCAGCCTTGGTTTATATTTGGTCTTAACAGTATTCTTTTATATCGGGCCTTAAGTTAATTAGCTTCAAGTGTAGGTAGTCAGGTAATATAGAAGCATGACAGACCTGAGTTTAAGTGCTGGTTTTGTCACTTAAAAGTTGTAAAATTAGGGCAAGTTAATTTTTTACGCTTCACTTTCCTCATACATAAAAGTAGATACATGACCACCTCAGCAGCTTTTTGGTCAGTATTAAATAAAAACACCTAAGATAGGCTTGGCATACAATAGGTGTTTTAACAAGTGTTAGTTTTCTTTCCCTATCAGTGTGGGATTAAAATAGATGTACTATTTACTTACATATGTTGTTTGTTTTCTTTTTTTTTTTTTTTCCAGAACTATTCCATGGCAGTATATCTTGTAAAACAGTTGTCCTCAACAGTTCTTCTTCAGAGGTTACGAGCAAAGGGAATAAGGAATCCGGATCATTCTAGAGCTTTAAGTACGTATGATAAACTTATTTCATTTATGTAGCTGAAATACTTTGTTATAGGTTAGAAGACTATTGTCTCAACTCAAGAAATTTTAGGGTTTGTCCTTTACTAGAGTCTGTCATACAGGATTGAAAACACTGAACCTTTTCTGTGAGTTAGGGTAAAACAAGACCTGAGAGTAGTTTTAATAGCTTTGTCATGACCTATATTTTATTGATCCTAAAATTAACTTGTATAGCCAATACATGAACATGGAAGAATATTTTACTAAAGCTTCATAAAATAGATAATTAGTTAAGGAATTCTAGAAGATGGAAGAGAAACTTGGTATATATTTCAAGAGAGTTATTTTAGACTGCAGATTATCTAGAAAAACACAACCTAGCATTAACGAAGTATAAAGAAAGTCAGTAGGGTGGTATAAGTAATAATGAAGTGCGTTCTGCTATTAATCAGTCATACGACCTTGGCCAAGTCACTCTACTCTGAGTCTCATACTCCTCATCTGTTGAGAGGTTTGGACCAGGTGACTTCTAAAGTATCTCCCAAGTCTGGGTTCATAGATGGGGATTACTGGATGGTTCATTTTGACATGTTGAATTTGAGACCTAGTTAGGTCTTCAAATAGACTATTTTGGTCTCAGTTTTTTTTTTTTTTTGTTTGTTTGTTTTTTAATTGTACTTTAGGTGAAGGTTTACAGAACAAATAGTTTCTCATTAAACAGTCAGTACACATATTGTTTTATGACGTTGGTTAACAATCTGGCCTCAGTTTTTGAGAGTTAAGGCCAGAGGTCAGTGGCCTTTCCAAAGAGGTGAACTAAGTTCTGCCTTCATTCTCTTTTTTGTATTCTTCATGGATGGATTTAGGGGTGAGGACTGGACACATAGGGAACAAAGCTTTTACAGGCAGGGGTTAGATAGCTTCCCTTTAAGTATCCTTGATGTGAGTTGGTTAATGAAGCCCACTGTCAGATTTGTACTTAGGAACACTCTGGTGGAAAGAACTAAGATAATAAGGTCAGCTTTTCTCTCACTTCCCTTTGGAGCATAGCTTTTATCTTTTTCTGTAACCTGTTTCTCTGTCAGAGTAAAAGATCCTTCTACCTCTGAGTATCAATATGCAGATCATCATAATATTGATAGCTCATTGAAGGATTTTTCTGTATTAAAAGGGCTTTTTTAAAAAATGCAAATAATCCAGAGTCAGAGGCAGCACACCTTTGGCTAATGCCTCTGTAGCCATTCCTTGCCAGCCTAGAATGACAGCACTGGCTAGGCCTGGAGGAGTGGAGGCACCGTCTGGCAGGCAGGGAGAAGGAGACAGTGGAGCTCCTGAGAACGGAAAAGGGATAGCGATCTCCCTGAAGGAGAGTGCAAGTGAAGAACTTCATTTTTTACTATCTTGCTGAAGTCCGTTCCTGGTCGTTCCACTGAGAATCTTCATATATTTGTCATATAGTGCTAGATCTAATCAGAAAGCATTATGGAGTTATGTGAGCCTTTGTAGGAAAGGGGATACCAAGAAATAAGGCAAATAAAGCTGTTATATTACAGAATAATAATAATAATGCAAACTGTCTTTGCTCAGTTAACGATTCTCCACTTGTAGTTATAGCACCACCTGGAGGGAGAGTGGGAAGATGAGCCTGGAATTTTATTTTCTCCAAGGAACCACTCTTAGCCACTGTTAAGTAGCAAACGTTATTTATTTCAACTCTGATACAGTGCTGGAGGTGGAGAAAGTAGCTGATTGGGTGGGATTTTTGTGACAATTTATGTCTTGTCTTAATTATTGGGCTTGGGTACCAATGAAACATTATTTTGGATCCTGCCCAAAAGAAATCTGTTGTAATTGATTCCACACAGAGATTGTTTACCTTTGTTGTTGTTGTTGTTGTTAGTTGCCGTTGAGTCGATTCCAACTCGTGACGACACCATGTGTTACAGAATACAACTGCCCCATAGAGCTCTCTTGGCTGTAATGTTAATGGAAGCAGAATACCAGCCCTTTCGTAGTACTGCTGGGTGTTTACCTTTATAGTTAAAGTTATCTAAAGTTTAAAGTTATATAAAGAAATAACTTTCCCAACAAATTAATTGTGTAATTAAAAGATTGTTTAAAACAGCTTGACAGAAAAAAGTGTTGTCAGGTATCCCAGATATTTTTTAAAGAATCAATTTATCTACCTATAGATTTATTGTAAGTCATTCTTAGTCTTATAAATTCTGCTGGCAAAGTTTTATTAGTCAAGTCAGGTACTATTATGTTCTTGAAAGAATAAAGTAGATAGTATTTAGACTTTTTACTAAGTTGGAAATTCATTTCTCTGATTCATTTGATTTAGTGGATTTTTGTCTTGTGGCGTCTGCCTTTTATGTACAGTTGTTTTCAGCATCCCTTCCTTGTCTTTTACCAACTCCTGGTCGGATTCTCCCCCCACCCCACCCCACTCAGCAGTTGCTTCAAGCCTTGGCTATACTTTACTCAAACACTGTCTCCATTCCCAGCACACTGTCAGTGAAAGAAAATTGGGTTACCAGATGTGAATTCTCTAAACTGCCTGTTTCTTCTCCAGGCTTACTGCCACTGTAACTGCCTTTCAACTTGTCTACATTTGTGCTCATCCTCTCTTTATTCCCTTCAGTCTCCCAGGTGTACATGTCCCTTTTCCTGCCTAAGGTTAATCTTTTATTCATTTATTTTACTCATTCAGGAAATTATATTAAGAGTCCATGGTGTTCCAGGCACTGGAGAATGTATCGTTAAGCAAGGGACACAGCAATTCTCCATCCCCCAAAAGCTTGCAGTCTGGTGGGAAAGACAGATGTTAAATAATTGCACAAGTTATGAATGAATTACAGTTGTAATGTGCCATGAAGAAGAAAGACAGTGACCTCTGTGGAGATACAACAGGGGAACATAGTCCTTTCTGATGATGTGATGTTTAAGACAAGATTATAAGGACAAAGAGGAGTTAAGCCCCAGATGGGAAGGGAAGTATGCCAAGAGGGAACGCCAGTGGTACTGGAGCAGAGAGAGTGAAGGGGAGAGTGGCCAGAGAGATACACACAGGGCAAATTCATACAGAAGATAGAAAGCCGATAAAGGATTTTAAGCAGAGGAGTGATATCATCAGATTTGGACAATAAAAAGATCATTTTGAGGACTAAATTGAGGTGGGGCCAGGCTGATGCAGTTAAGACCAGTTAAGAACCTGTTGCAGTAGTCCAAGCAAGAGATAATTTTGTTTTGGGCTAAGGGGATAATGATGGAAGTAGAATTGATGGATTTGAGAAGTATTGTAGGGGTAGAAATGGTGATTGATTACATGTGAGAAGTGAAGAAAAAGGAGAAGTCAAAGATGAGTTCTAGGCTTGTTACTTAAAGCACCAGGTTATGTGGTGATGCTGTTTACTGCAATGGAAAACAGTGTTGAAAAGATCAGGTTGCAGGGGAAAGATCAGAGTACAGTCTTAGATTTGTGGTGTTCGAGATGCCTGTGGGACATACAGGTGGAGATGCTCGGTACACAGCATTATGAGACCTGGCTGCCTCATTTTTCTGCTCTTTGTCCTGTTTTCAGTTCCTCCCTCTCTGGGAGGAACTGTCTAACTTCCCTGTCAAGTCTCTCTTCATCCTTTGAAAAAGGAAAGCAAGCTCCTCTGTAGCTACAGTTCTGTGTTTCTCCTATTGTTCTCATCCTAGTTTGTTGAAAGAGGAGTCTACTTGCTCCTTCTACCTCCTCACCGTAACCCATTGTGATCTGTCTTTAACCCCCATCATTCCACTAAACTGCTCTGGCAGATGTCACCAGTGATATCCTGATTGTCACGTGTATACCTTTTCTGTATTCATCTTGGATACTTTCGCCTCATTTGATACCAGCCACTTTCTCCTTGAAATTTTCCCCTCCCCTCTTCTCAGATCATTTCTTTCCAGTAACTTACCTTCAATGGATTCTCTTAAGGAAAGCATCCTAAATGTTGGTGTTTCCTGGGGGGGTTCCATCCTTGACCCACTGCATACTTCCTGTGTAGACAATCACATTCCAGTTTCTTGGTTTAAACTAACACCAACTCACAGATATGTATCTTCATCCCAGAATTTCAGACTTACATAGCTAACTGCCTTCACCTGAATTGGTTCTTCAAATTCAGTTATTTAAAATTGAACTCACCAAGTCCTATCAAACTTACACCGTAAATGTTTCTCAAATCTGTCTTCTCTATATCCCTACCATCACTGCCCTGGTTTGAGCCCTTACATCCTGCCTTTATTTTTAAAATCTATTTTAAATAATCTTCCTCTTCTTTCTTGACCCCTCTATATGTCTCTCCACTGGTAGTAACCTAAGTGAAATAAAAACTCCCACTTTCTTAACATGACATATAAAGCAACTTGTGCAAATGATTTCTAAAACCAACGACCCAGAGTTAGGCCAGACTTCACAGGTTAAGGGCACACTTCTCCACAAGACTGCTCTCACTTCAGACACGAGCGACAATTCAGGGGTTCCTAGGCCACCCTCATTTCTGACCAGCTGGCTGCAGATTCAAGGATTGCCACTACCCCCTCATGTTTGATAATTTTCTGGAACTCCCAGAACTCAGGAAAGCCACTATTTACATTTATATTACAGTTATACTTTTTATTATAGGGAAAGGATACAGATCAGAACCAGCCAAAGGGAGAGACGCATAGAATGAGGTCTGGGAAGTCCAAAATCTGAAGCTTCCCTTGTTCTCAGGAATGCATCACTCTCCTGGCATATCAGTGCGTGATAATATTCAAAATATTATCAACTAGGGAAGCTCACCCAAGCTTTGATGCGCAGAGTTTTCATTGGAGTTTCATTACGTAGGTATGGTTGATTGAATTACTGGCCACGTGATTGAATTCCATCTCTAGCCCCCTCCCCAAGGTTGAGCTTATATTACACCTTTCAAAGGGCCAAACCACTAATCACATGGTTGGACTTCTGCCATGGGCAGCCCCTATACTGAG